TGAAAATTAGATATACCAACCTCTGTACAACTTGATCTACAAAATTCCAATGGTGTTTTGGTTTAGGCCGTTCCTTAATTCTCGTCATTTCTTTGGCAATAGCTTCTTCTGTGTCCTTCCACTGTGTTTCATTCTCTATGCCATCCTGGAGGCCCCTGCGACGCCCACCATCATCCGAGTCAGAATCTGTATCTGACAGAAGTCCACCAAATATTCTTTGGCTGCTGAAACGTCGCTCAATGCGACGTTCCATTGGTGGAGAGTCATCTTTAAAACAAAACAAATTACGTTACAGTATGCAATGAGCAATAAAGTCACAATTCTCAACTGTAAAGAATACTGGAATTAATAAAAAATCTTTTAACTCAACTGCAACTGGTAATAATTTAGTAAATTTGGATAAGGACAGGCATACATTATGCAAGACCTCATCTAAGAAATCGGCACATTGACTTGTTATGTGTGAAGCCTTATATCATGTGTGATTAATCACTAAAATTATATCACTAATTGCAAATGGATTAAAAGTCTTTTCTGGTATTCTTGACACACACAAAAAAAAATAATTAGTGTTAAGACTAATAACATTCTTGATGTATAAGCACCCATAAACATCATTATTGCTGCCTGACCTAAACTTTACCTGTGTTATCATCCTCAGTGTTTCCACTTGCAGCACTTCCAGTCTCCATTGCTGATGGACTAGTAGGCTCCATGTGATCTGTCTCAGTGTCACGACTTGTATCTGCGCTTGTGTCCTCCATTTCTGATGCTGAAGTTATAGTCACATTGTTTCTCCGTGTCAAAGCTGTGTCAGACTTTTTATCTTCATTGTTGCTTGCACGCAAGGTACTGTCATCATCATCATCATCCCCACTATCATTTGAACTTGACTCAAGCAATCTTGGTCTGTAGTTTCTCAGGCGACAAGTCTTCCCAGTCTTGACAATTGAGATGCCTGAAGACTCTCCACTTTTCTTTTCCCCCTCTGACTTTAATTTCTTGTTGCCTTCATCATCTGAATTTTCTAATCTTTCACTGGATATCCCAGAGTCATCTTTTTTGACATTCCGATCTCTCTTGTTGCTGTTGTTGAGCAAAGAGGAGTCACTGTCTTTTGGGGTACTCGTCTCCACCTCAAGCTCATGGGAGGAATCAGATGCCTCTGCCATCTGGAGAGGTTTGTATTACACCTGGAATGAGAGGGAGATGACCAAGAAGTTAGTGACATTAGTAACACTGTGCAATACGGCTAGTCATGACCAAGCCATGGTTTCAGGCAGCCCCGTATGTCAAGGACTATTTTCTTGCTTTTTATCTACAGCAAGGTCAATAGGAAAAGGAATTGATGCAGTTAATTAGGAAAATCAATAGAAGCAAAGGGTAATTTACTTAAACTTATCAATTCAGAACAGTAACAATGGGAAAGTAATGGGTCCTCTGTTCAAAAATCAATTCACACTTCAAAACTTAATGTATCATACCCAATTTCAAACTTGTGGTATCATGCAAATATGAGGGCATGTTCGTGATTATCTATATGTCAGAAAGATAATTCAGGTTAGTATTCACTACACATATACTGAATGAAAAGTTCACTGAGTGACTGATATTATTACCTTCATGTCTTCTTCATGCAAAACTAAATAGCTATGGACAGGTGATACTCTGAACTGTCCTATGTTTTCAAAAATCTTAAAAACTGATATTGAAATACAGTACTATATTTAGGGTTATGGAGCAAGGGGTAAAACTGCTCCATTCAAGGATGGTGGCAAGAACTGTACTTATCTAGCCCTTGTCCAACAAAAGCCTGTCACCTGCATTTGGCATTCTTATTTAGAATAAGGCAACTGCAGTATACTGAAAAATGGACAGACGAAAAAATAAATAAGAAAAAAGCATGTAGACAGGATAAAAAATAAATATCATTCAATTACAACAAATTAAATTGTGACTGAAATCCATACGGACTTGTAATAGGATAACATTGATCAATTTCTAAAACAAGAGCACTTTTCCAATATTCTGGAAAAGAGGGTATGGGAAATAACTGGCACAATCATAATGCTATCAAATATCCCTTAACCATAAAAACATTTAGGCTGATTTGTATAGGCTGGCTGACTTTCCTTTTATTTCCCTGTATCTCTCTTCCACTGTCCTTCTGCATTCTCTCCACCTTTTCTTTTAATTGTTTCTCATTTTCATTTGTCCCAAGAACAAGCCTAGACTACTGCAAATCTCACTAACATAACATAAAGTAATTTAATACTATATATTGGATAAAACATATCCAACATATGCAGCAACTGTATTCATATTACAAATACTTTTGTTGATTCTAGAGATACTGTATAATGAATGAAAGTGACATAGGAAGAGTGCCAGTAAGAGGAAGAGGAAGAGGAAGAGGAAGAGGAAGAGGAAGAGGAAGAGGAAGAGGAAGCAGAAGAGGGAGAGTGAGAGGGAAAGGTAAGGGAAAAGGGAAAAGGGAAAAGGGAAAACAGAAAAGGAAAAAGAGAAAAGGGAAAAAGGAAAGCAGGAAAAGAGAAAAAGGACAAATGGAAAGGAAAACAGAGAGAAAGAGAGAGAGAGAGAGAGAGAGNATATATATATATATATATTTATATATATATATGTGTGTGTGTGTGTGTGTGTGTGTGTGTGTGTGTGTGTGTAGATAGATAGATGAGAATATGTAGATAGGTATGTATATGCAGGCGAGTGTGTATTTACTGCGCGTACTATGTAGCAGTACATATCTGGACGCACATTCGTATATTGGTATTATTAAAAAGAGAGAAAAAACATTGCAGGGGCTGGTCCTTTTGCTTGGAAAAATAAAACCTAATCATAGCTCCCCTTCTGTGATGGTATTTCTGGATGTTTACCTTATAAAATTCCTATCAAATTTATTGCTGACATTGTTATTATTGCTATCCTCAATAAAATTTTGCTTTTGAGTGTTTTACTTATTTTTATTTTTATTTTTTTTTATTTCTATTTTCATCTTTCTTTATTTTAATTTTTTTCTTATCATTTAAATTTATCTTATGTTTTTACTTATTTTTATTTTCCTTTCTTTTATTTTTATTTTCATTTTTCTTTATTTTTATTTCTTTCTTATCATTTACTTATTTTTATTTTGACTGGTATACTGTAATAAAAAAAATAAATAATAGCAAACACTGTCTCTCAGCTTCAACCGTAGGCCAAAGAAGGATAATAACAAACCGTTGATTAATAAATGATATATTTGACTTTACTGCAACTCCATATAACACGTGTTCCCTTGGTCTCCTCTCTGAAAATAGTCGATGGTTTTCTTTCTATTTACGCTATGATGAAGGTAGATGGTGTGTGTGTGTGTGTGTGTGTGTATGTGTGTGTGTGTGTGTGTGTGTGTGTGTGTGTTTGATTCTGTCTGTATCTATATGTGTGTGTGTGTGTGTGTGTGTGTGTGTGTGTGGGTGTGTGTGTGTGTGTGTGTGTGTGTGTGTGTGTATGTGTGTGTGTGTGTGTGTGTGTGTGTGTGTGTGTGCTTGATTCTGTTTGTATCTATATATGTGTGTGTATGTGTGTTTGATTCTGTCTGTATCTATATGTGTGTGTGTGTGTGTGTGTGATTCTGTCTGTATCTATATGTATCTGTGTCTATGATGACGTTTACATTCGTCTGGGTGTGTATAAATGATCACATATGCTACTATATATTCATGAATATATCTGTAAGTAGGTAGACAAACAGTGTGTACAAGTCGGTGTGTGGGCGTGCAGTAGGGGCGTTACCCTGCCTGCAAATGGGCGTGACGGCGGGTTTATTCCCTCATGACATTCACAATAACACATGCATTATAGAGGAATTCCTAAGACTAAAAAGGTGTAGCTTGTGCCACAGACTTCTCGATTGTGACTGGAAGAAACGAAACGACAAAGCAAAGGGGTTAACATTTCTAAAAAGAAAATAAAAAGAAAAATTAAAAAACAAAGATAATAAATAAAGACGGAAATAAATAATAAATACCGACAAATAATCTAAACTACAACAAACGAAGGGACCTGCAACAAAAAAGGAAATGATTAATAATGAACTATCAAGAAGTACAACAGAGAATCGAGAACATAAAACTGAAAACAGAAATGAAAACCTATGATAACATTAACATTAATAAAAATCTGATGTGATTACTGATAGTGCTCTGCAGATATTGTGTTCATAGCACCATCGTGGCCACCTGGAGACATTGTGATCAACAACACTGACAGGAATATATATTCATTCATATATTTATATATATATAATATATATATGAAAGTCACGTCCCTGATTATGATTAAGCCATACTGGAAGAGGGAATCAAAGTCGCTTTTAGAAAAGAGGAAGAAGAAAAAAAACGAAATAAAAAGAAATGGAAATCGTACAAAATTGTTGATTGTTGGCAATACATTAAAAAAAGAAATCGGCCTTATTTCTAATCAGTTATCAAACACTTTCTTTGCTTTCGTCACATTATGCAAAATCTTGTTCGGACACCACTGTGAGCAGCCTCCGTCCGTGCCCAGCGAGCGAACCCGAGTCCCTGCGCTTGGGACAGTCAGTCCTTGAGATTTCACAGCACATTGAAGAGAACAGAGCGAGCGGCGGCGGTCACGGCGCGCGAACACCGAGGAGGAACTGCCGCTCGAGAATACACAGCGACAGCTCCTCGGTTGCCAAGGGGCCGAGTAGCACACCGGTGTTGATATTGCTAGTCAAGCAAATACATTTGGGTAAACGCTAACATCAGAGCCGTCTGTTACAGACATTGACAGTCATCACGACACTCATAGCGTGACTAAGGCGCTGTTTGGTCTGCGGTGGCGACACAGCAGTCAGTCACGTGAACAGGCAGCTTCCCGGCCGGGAGCGCTTGAGGTAGGCGTGGCGCCCACCGGCCACAGTGTCGTGCCCCGCGGGCGTGTCCCCAAGGCCGCAGGAAGACCTACACTGGCGTTTCTCTCTCCGGTAACTTGTGCACCTCGTTGATGACGCGGTAGTTGACGACGCTGGCGAGCAGCGGCGACGACTCCTCGCACTCGCTGCTGCCGGCGTCCTGCTTGCTGCAGTAGCGCAGCCGGGGGTTCCGCCCCTCGACGCCGCCGCCCGACAGCAGGGCCTCGCTCTCCCCGCCGCTGCGGAGGCTCAGCGGCACTATGCTGTGCGGGCGCCAGCGGACGGCGCTCCCCGAGCTGGAGGCCTTGTCGGGGGGGCCGCCCCCGGCGCCGCTGGAAGGCTTGCTGCCCCCCGGCGTGGAGGGCGAGGCCACGGCGGTGCCTGCGTCGCGCAGGGGCGAGGCGGGGGCTCTGTGCTCGAGGCTGATCGCGGCGGAGAGCGGCAGCGCGGCGAGGGCGAGCGGAGGGGGCGGCTCGCCGGGCGCGGGCGGCGCGTGCTCGTCCGAGGCCTCGACCAGGCTGGAAGGGCGCGACACCACCTCGCTCACCGACGTCCTGCGGCTGGCGTTGAGCACCTCCTCGTCCGCCGAGACGCCCGGCGACGACAGCGGCGACATGGCGGCCTCGGGGTGGCCCAGGAGGGGGCTGTGGTCGCCGGGGGGCCCCCTGGGGGAGCGCGGCGAGCTGGCCCGCGGCGCCGAGCGGTGCTCCTTGATGCACGGGCACGAGTTGCGCTTCATCTCGTGGCTGATGCGGCGCACCGCGCAGTCGTCGGAGGCGGCGGGCGAGGCGGGCGCCGGCGGCGACTCGCCCGACGCCCGCGCTCTCCACCGCTACCGCGCCGTCAGCTCCTCCGACATGGCGAACCCGAGGCGCTTCGGGGACTCGAGGCTGAGCGTGCGCGGGATGGCCGAGGACCGCGTGCGCCCGCCGCCCCTCAGCGACCCCGCAGGCCCGCCCACGCACCCGTTCTTCGCCAGCCCGACGTTGTGGAAGCCACGCTGCCGCCGGGACTGCTGCGCGGCGCCGCTTGCGTCGGGATCCTCGCCTGCGGGAGGAAGGGAGAACGCCGTCGGTTAGGGGCAGGGAATGCGAGCATGAGGGGAATTGGGGTGGGAAATTCTGAAGGATAAAGAGGATGACGATGACGATGATGAAATGAAGATGATGAAGATGAAGATGATGATGATGATGATGGCGATGATAATGATGATAATGAAAATGACAATAGTTCTAGTAGTAGGAGTTATAGTACATTACTACTACAACTCCTACTACTACTAGTAATAATATGACAACAACCACATCACACATGGTGCCATAAAAGAAAAACAGCTAGAGAAAGGTGGAAAAAAAACGTTGCACCGAATTGCAAATACCCCCCCCAACCACCCACAGGAAAAGCTCTTGGGCGAAATTCTTCATCCTAACAGAATCGACTCTCAAGTATTGATCCAAACGTCTATTCAGGTTAATCATTCCTGAGACTGGAATGTCACCTGTTCATATTTAACGTCGTGTGCGGCTCAAACCTGCATCATTTAAGCCTAAGTCCTGTGACGATAATGAACTGTATTATGAATATAATATACGAGGGTTTTAGTTTCTCTATTTATGTATTTCAGGGAAGTTGCCGTGAGCGTTTGAATAATCAGTGAGTTCAGCTGAAGGTCATCAAGACTGCAGTTCCGTATTATAAACAGGTTTTGATACACAACCAGAATATTTGTTCAACACACACACGCAACACCATAAACACCGCCTTCACATCGCACATACTGACAAATACACACGCAATTATCACCACATCGACATGCAGTGAAAAATCACACATACACTCCACCGCCACATTGTCATGCATTGAAAAATACCATGCAATTACCACCACATTACCATGTAGGGATAGACACAGACACACGCGCAGCTAATACGCCACCACCACATCGTCATACAGTGAAAGATACAACACTCACAAACACACACGTCACATGACACTTCTATCACTTACCGACGAGCCAATATGTGGTCATCTCTCCTTTGCTTTGACCTTGACTGACCTCGCTCCTCCAGGTTGTAGCCGCCCAACTTGACCAGGAGATCACGACAGGAACATGAGCAGTGGATCCTCAGCGCTAAGGTCAGGGTGAAAATGAAAAATAGGTAAAGGCATCATCAGTAGTAAATAAATTGTGTGTGTATATATATATATATATATATATATATATATTATTATAATAATATATATATATATATATAATATATATATATATATATTCATATATATATATTACAAAATTATTCAGCGCATTTTATATTTTTTATTCCATTATACCTTATGTAACTCCCTACGTGTCATCTAATTATTCATCTATTTACTTATGTACTCATTTTTTATGCATTTACCTATATATTCGTCTGTTCAATTTTTTGCCTGTGATTTCATTTGTTCATGTATTCATCTATATATTTCCTTTTATTTGCATTTTTGCATAATAGGAATATTTTTGTTTATAAATTCAAATCCTTACCTTTAGTTTTTATTCTTTCAATTTATTCCTTTATTCA